CCCCTCCACACCCCCCTGCAGAAGGGCCCCCTCCCCGGCGAGCGCGGGTCCTGAGGAGGGGAAGGTGACGCCAAGGACAAAGGTGCTTCCTCCAACACCAAGTTCCAGAACCTTCTCCCGTTGACCTTCTCACTGAGGAGACCCTCTCCCCACACCCCAGCACATCCTCCTCCCCCCACTTCAGTGCATCCTCGTCCTGGAGCACCAAGACCCTCGTGGAACTGGAAAAGGGGAAATCAGTGACAGTGGCCTCGAGCACAGCCCACGAAGGGGCCCTCCGAGGTCCACGTTGCCACGGCCCAGCCAGGCGGTGCCCTTGGGGGGTGCACCCCTTCACTCCCACCTCCGGCTCTCCGGGCGGGCGGGGTGTGGCCAGAAGAGGTACCAGCACCGAGGTCGCGTGGGGCCATCCCCGCGAGTCCCGACCCCGTCCAGCGCCTGCTGGGCAGTGGACTTCATGGGGACCACAGCCACAGGGCCCCCTTCCCACCTCCACATGCCTCTCCGACCCAGCCCCGGCCTCAGCAGGCGTCCCCGTGGGTGTGAGGCCAGGGGGATCCACGGGGGCAGCAGGAAGTGGGCCTCAGCCTGGGCCTCTGGGCGTCCTCCTAGACACAGGGGGGCCAGCGCAAGGCTGCCCGGGCGTGGGCAAGCCCCAGACCGGCCTCTCGCTTCTCTCTTGTCTGGACTGACTAGGTCTCGGGCTGCAAGACGGAGGTGAGGCAGGAGCCTGGCTCTGGGCACTGCAGGGCCAGTGACCGGGGCTGCCCGAGACAGCCCAGGGGCAGGGCGGGAGGAGGCCGGAGCCACAGCCACTACCCCGTGCCATCCACCCGCACGCCTCCCTGGGTCCGGCCTCTCTGCTAGGCTCGCCTGGGGGCTCCCAGCCAGGGAGACTAGGCCTGCCCGGAGCACCTCCCCGCGGGTGCCTGTCCACCCCGTGTCCCAGCACAGGCCGCTCGCTGAGGCCAGAGAGGTGCCCTCGTGTCCTCCGTGCCGAGGGACTGGCCGCTCCTGCCGCGGCTGCCGTGGGGAGACACCGGCTGTCCTCAGGGCTGAGGGCTTGCATCCCCAGGGACAGGGACGAGGGACAGGGAGGTGGGCAGCTGAGGGGCAGGCCTACCGCCCACTCCGTGAGGGCACTGACCGGGCACAGACCTAGGGGCTGGAGAAGGTTCTGCCTCGTGACTCGGTCTGACCGGGGGCCGTGGGGGCAAGTGAGACCTCGGACACACGCGAGGGGCTTCCTGGCCGTCCCTGCCGACCTGGCCAGACCCCGTCCTGCATGTGTCTGTGAGGTCGGAGAGGCCACAAGGCGCTCCGGGCAGGCCTAGTCTCCCTGGCTGGGATCCCCCAGGTCACAGGCCCAGGGGCCACGTCTCAAGTCCACAGCCTCTCTCTGCCCGTTGTCCGTCTGTCCATCTGTCTCCTGGCACACCCATCTGTCCTCAAGCTCAAAGGACTCTGAACTTGGCAGGGCCCAAATGCGGGTGTTCGGGCCCCGGTCTCCTCAAGGGGGACCTCCTCGGCCCTGCCCGGCCCCCTGCGTCCAGGGTGCTCGCTCCTCCCCGGACAGCCCCTCTGTCCTGCAGGCTCCCCCTCACCAAGAGGGCACCAAGGCGCCAGCCCCCTGCAGCACACGGGCAGAACCAGCGCTTGGCCCAGCTGCAGGCACGGGTCCAGTCGACGCCGGTCTCGTGGACGGATCTGGCCAGGGTGAGGTTGGAGGGAGGAGCGTGAACATGGCACACGCAGGAAGCAGGAAGCCGGCCCCGGGCTCAGGCCTGACCAGAACCGTGAGGCCCCGAGCCAGGTCCAGCCTGGCACCTGCGGCTCCCGGGCACCCGGAGATGGGCTGACTGACGCTCAGGCTGCAGCTGTGTGTGCGTGTACGTGTGCGTGCGTGTGCGTGTGTGTGTGGGGGGTGGGGGGGCATTCCTGGGGTCAGCGGTCACCCAGGCAACTGCCGGAGTCCCTTCTGCCTTTCGTCCCTGTGCCCTGCACATGGGCCCCGACGAGGCAGGTCTGAGCCAGCACCAACTCGAGTCCGCCCCCAGGACCCCAGCCTGGGTGGGACTGGCCCTGGGGGTGATCTACAAGACTGAGGGGGCCAGCCTGGAGGGTGACCAGCAGCGAGGCCTGGCTTCGAGGGTGGCGAGACCGGTTCCTCCCGCTGACCTGACCCTGGCCCAGTTGTGGCCTACTGCCCAGACGCCTGCTCCGCCCCGCACAGCTGCCCCGTCCAGTTCCCTCTCCTGCCCGCCGGCGGTACCCTACCCCTAGGCCCGCGGACAGCCCCACTTCCGCGCCTCAAGTTCCCCCTGGGAGAGCCGGATGCTCACGCCAGCCCCCCGGGAATCAAGGGCACGTGGGCCTGTGGCCTGAGCGGGGAGCGGGTCTGGAGCGGCCAGTCCCCGGGCTGCCCGTCCAGGAGGGCGTCACCTGCTCTGGGCTCCCGCGGGAAATCTCTCTAAAAGGGCCTAATGGAGCAACGTCCTCGCCCTCCCTTGCTTTCTCGCTCCTTTTTTTTTTTTTATTAGCATTTGTGGAATTTATTCCCAAACTCTCCTAATCTTCCGTACACAACCATTTGATTTGCATAACCCAACCCCCTCTCATAAAAACTGGCTGCTAGTTTAATTAAAAAATGTAAATTTGCTGTCATCTCGGGGCCTGGTGAATTAGGACGACACCGGCATTTTTTATTGCTAAAGACGGCCAGATTGATCCAGCCCTTGGCTGAACTATGGTGGGGGAACGGGGTCTACAAGGTCCTGGCAGCCCTTCCTGAGCATCCCACCTGGGAACGCCTGAGGCCAGAGTGTGTGGGGGCCTCGGTGCACGGAGCCCAAGGCCAGGCGGACCCCCGACCCGGGCAGCATGGGGCCAGGTCCTGTGGCCTGGCCCTGGGCTGGGGCAGGCCTCAGACGGGGGGACCCTGGAGAAGACAGTGCACATGGCTCCAGGGCGAGCCCCCACCGCGGGGAAGATACTGGGGTTCGGGACACGTAGCCTGGCCTGGGGGCCACCCCTGGCCATCGCTCCCCTTTCTTAGGACGCGGAGGGGTAAGCGCTTCTGAAGTTGGGAGCGGAGGTGAAACTTCCAAGTTCGGGAAGAGGCTGAGATGCTATCGGCGAGGGCTCCTCCAGGGCAGGGAACCTCAGCACCTGGACCGCCCTTCCGCCAATGGACAGAGTCCAGGCCGGCCAGAGAGGGACACGCTGACCTCAGGGGCCCTCTTGGCTTCTAGGAAGTTTCCCGAGCCTGGCCCGGGAGGCCGGGAGCCGCCCTGGGAGCTCCCCACCCCTCCCCACCTGCCCTGGCCCACGGGGACGCCCACGCAAGGGCCCGGAGCCGTGCCCCCACGCAGACCGGGAGGGTCCAGTGGTGTGGGCAGGCCTGACGCCAGCCCCAGTTGGCCCAGGTGAGGGGAGGCTGGGCAAGCAGGCCTTCCCGCTGAGTAATGCCTGTCCCACGGCCCGCCCACAGGCAGGGGCCGGCCCAGTCAGGCTGGCTTCTGGCGGGGAGGGGTGGGGCCCCATTACTGCAGAGGGGGGGTGGGGCCTGCGATGAGACACCTGATTAGAGGTGGGGGCGTGGGAGGCAGGGAGGGGCCCTGGACACCTCTGGCCTTGCCCAGCAGGGGGTGTCCCAGCCTTCCTGGGCACCCTGGACCTCCGGTGGGCTGAGCCAAGCTCACCACTTGTGGCCGCCTGACCGCTGGCAGCGTCTGACCACACTTGGCACGCCCCCCCCCCCCCACACACACATACCCTCTTCCGAGGCCGGCGCTCACCAATGCCACCCTGAGCCCACCTGGCCGCCTCGGACCCTTGAGCCATTCCACTTTGACCTCAGAAAGTCAGGGGTCAGCTCTAGGGACCCCAGAACAACAGTCCGCGCTTCGGTCCGGCAGCACTGGGCACCACATCAAGTCCAGGGAGCAGCCCCGTGGGGCCTCCACCCTGCTGGCTCCAGACTGGGTGTCCCAAGGGCCAGGAAGGAGGCGGATGCCGGCAAGGGGGAGCCGGCCCGAACCTGACTTCCATCCCGGCTCCAGCTGGAGCCCCAGATGGGACCAGAGGAACAGGGAATAAAATTTACTTTAAAACTAATAAAACACCAAAGTCTCGGCTAGACTCTGCCCAGGCCAGCACCCTGGCATATGAACGCCCCCCCCCCCCCACCACAGGCACCGCCCAGACCTCCAAATGTAGTCGTTGGCCTACCCCCCCACCCCAGGGTGGGGGCCCAAGGGGGCCCGGGAGAGTTGTGGGCCCCTTACTTTGAACTGATAGCAGCCGCCTCATCCCACGGTTCTCAGGTGAAAAATAGTCATTAGCTGTAATAAGCAGCTTGATCATCCGACACAGCCTTGTCCCAAATAAATTAAATTCCTTTACCTTGAGACAGTCGCCCGAAACCAGACTAACCACCTTTCCCAACAGGACGCTGCTTTCAAAAACTAAACCACCCCCCACTAAAAAAATACAAACACGCACACACACACGCACGCACACACACACACACACACACACACATACACACACCCCACAGCCTGACACACACACACACACACACACACACACACACCGGGAGCTTTTGCAAGGAAGGAGAAAAACACACACACTGACAAACACGCACGGGAGGGAGCGCGCGCCCGCACAAACCACACGCGGCCCTCGGCAGCGCGGAGACAAGACCCCCACCCCGCGCCCCCCACGCGCCCCCCACGCCCCCCACGCCCTCCCGGCCCGGCGCGCGCCCCTCCCGGCGCCCCGGCACTCCGACCCGCAGCCAGCCGGTGCCCCGAGCGCGCGCGCGCGCGCGCGACGCACGCCCCCCGCCGCGGCCCCGCGCGCGCCCCGCGACCCCCGCGCGCGCCCGCCCGCCCGCCCGCCCGCCCGCCCGCCCGCCGCGCCCCGCTTGGGGCTGAAAGCGGCAACTTCCGTGAAAGCGGCGAAAGAAAAGTGAAAGAGCCGCGCGGGCCCGCCGGTACCTGTGCCGAGGTCCATCCTCCGCTCCTTGGTCCCAAACTCTTCCAGGGGCGCCGGGGGAGACAGAGAGGGAGACCCGGTTAGTCGCGGCGCCGGCGCCCGCCCGGCCCCGCAAACTTCCCCGCCCCGCGCCCGGGGGTCGCGCCCCGCGCGCCCGCCCCCCGCCCGGGTCCCGGACCGGGGGGCGGGGGTTGGGCGCGCCCCCGGCCCGCCCGCCGGGACCCCCGGGAGCGCCCCCGGCCCGCCGCGCCCGCGCGCCCCGCGCGCCCCCCGCGCGCCTCCCGTGCGCCCCGCGCGCCCCCCGCGCCCCGCGCGCCCCCCGCGCCCGGCCTCCCCCGCCCCGCTCCGGCGCTCACCATAGTCGGAGAGTCGAAAGCCGAATTCACTTAAATAATCAACTTTCATAATACTTAATTAATGCCTAATTGCAACTGATTACTCCCCGAATAACAAGTTGTTTTAAAGCCCTGATGTCATTGCTCCTGCCGGGAACGCTCAGGGTAACAGTTTGGCAGCGGGCGCGGCGGGCGGGAGCGGCCGGGGGCGCTGCCAGGCGCCGCGGTGATTGGCAGCTCGGCCCGGCCCCGCCCCCGCCGGCCGCGCGCGCCGCCGCCGCCGCCGCCGCCGCCGCCCCGGCAGGTGAAAGAGCGGGGCGCGCGCCCGCGGGGCTGCGGGACTGAATGGGCGCGCGCCCGCGCGGGGCTGGGCGCGCGCGCGCGTGTGTCTCTGTGTGTGCGCGCGCCCCGCTCGCCGCCGCCGCCGCCGCCGCGCGCGCGCGCGCACCCCAGCGCCCCGGCTCCGCTCGGCGCGGCACGGCGACTCCGCGGAGGACAGCCGCGGACTTCAGGACGCCGGGCGCGGGGACGCGGCTCCCGGGTGGGGTGGGGGGAAACCCCGAGTCCCGCCCGCGCCCGCGCCCGCGCGCGCGTCCCCTCCGGCCGCTCAGGGTCCCGCGGGCGCGCGCGCGCACCGGTTCTCCCCCCCGCGCGCGCGCGCGCGGCCCCGCAAACTTTTCCTCGAGGGCGCACGCAGGTGCGGCGGCGCCCGCCGAGGCCCCGCGGCGCTGCGGGGAGGCCGGCGCGGTGGGGCTTTGCGGGTCGGAACCGAGGTCTGCCTCGCTCGGCCCGGGACTGCGGGCTGGGGCCGGGCGGGGGCAGCGGGGCGTCCCGGGAATGCGCGCGCGCACGGGACCCGCCCGGGACCCCCAGTGCATCCCTGCCTCGCCCCCCCTTCGTCTGCCCGGCTCCAGCTTTGCAAGGAGCCCCGCCACTGCCACTCGGCTAGCTCGTGTGCCCCTCAACCTAGGTGCCACTGGCCTGGCGCTGGCCTCGCCACACTGTCCACCTCTCCTGTCTGCCCGCTCAGAGGGGCACTCAGCTTTCCAGTTTCATCTCTGACTTGGCCCCACACACCAGCCTTCCTCAAGGAAGCCCAGTCTCTCTCCTGCCACCTGAGTGCCCCGAGTGACCAGACTTATCTCCTGTACTGGACATCAGTGCCCGGGTGACTGGGTCTGTCTCCTGTACTGGACATCAGTGCCCAAGTGACTAGGTCTCTGTCTCCTGGCACGTTAGTACCCAGGTGACCAGGTCTGTCTCCTGTACTGGACATCAGCTCCTGAGTGACAGGGTCTGTCTCCTGTACTGGACATCAGTGCCCAAGTGACCAGACTTATCTCCTGTACTGGACAGCAGTGCCCAAGGGACCAGGTCTCTGTCTCCTGCCATATCAGTGCCCAAGTGACCAGGTCTGTCTCCTGTACTGGACATCAGCTCCTGAGTGACTAGGTCTGTCTCCTGTACTGGACATCAGTGCCCGAGTGACCAGACTTATCTCCTGTACTGGACAGCAGTGCCCAAGGGACCAGGTCTCTGTCTCCTGCCATATCAGTGCCCAAGTGACCAGGTCTGTCTTTTGTACTGGACATTAGTATCCAAGTGACTGGATTTGTCTCCTGTATTCCGGGTCAGTGCCCAAGTGACCAGGTCTGTCTCCTGTACTGGACATCAGTGACCGAGTGACCGGGTCTGTCTCCTGTAGTACAGGTCAGTACCCGGGTTACCTGCTGGGGCTTAAAGAACCCAGGGCGGGGACAGTCAGTGAAGTCCTTACTCACAGGGTCACCGGCTGGGCTCTGCCTGTCTCCTGTCCTGCTGCCCTGCAGGAAATATCTGTGGATGGTTTCTACCTTGCACAGGGAGGGCCAGAGAAGCCCTGGGCAGAGCAGCTGGGGAGTTCATTGGCCTTTCTTCTTGGGGAGCCCAGCGCCCCTTTCTGAGTGGACAGCCCTGCCTTCTTGGCCACCTGGCTGCCACATGGCCCATGCCGGGGGAGGAGGAGCAGAGAGATGGGGCTTCCCGAGTCCCCCCGGCCCCTGCTTCCCGGGCAGGAAGGGTGTGCACCCCACCCCAACTCTCCCATGCAGGCTTCACAGGGCCGAGAGCAGACGGGGGCAGGCCTATACAGACAGGGCACCGGCAGGCTGACCCCCGTGGCTTGGGGCTGATCCCGAGTGTCCTGGCACTAGGGGACACACCGACCCTTCCTTTGCCACCCGGGTACCTCTGGGGCACAGGCTGAGAATCGTGTCTCCGGGGAAAGAACCAGGAGGGCTGGAGGGGGTAGGGACCCGCCACGTGTAGTCACGGGTTGGGGGAGCCTACCCTGGGGTCTCTGAGACCCCCTCACGGGGCACCCCGAGGCCTGGCTCTGGGCAGAGCCGCCAGCCAGAGGGGCCTGTGTAGGGCACCAGGCAGGTGTGTGGCGGGTGATGGGACTGGGAGGCTGAATCGGTGAGGTCGGGGCGCAAGGGAGAAGCCCCCACGTGCTCCCTCCAGAGTGTGTGCCAGGGCCGGGGGGGGGGGTCCCCCGCGCTCCCGGCCGGCCTCCTGGACCTCGGCGCTGGCCCTCTCCTGAGCACTCCCTCCCGAGCGCCCCGGGCCTTCTCCGTCAGCGGCTGCTTACACACACCAGGTATCTCCGGCTTTATCTCCTCTCGTTTTGAATTTGTAACTTTCACATAAACTGGAACAAAGCTCCTTTGTTCCTGCGCACCCCACCCGGGATCCCAATAAACTGGTTCCCTCCGAGACAGCCTTGGCCCAGGGACCGAGCGCACGCGGGCGGGGAGCAAGCGCCTTCACGCCCGCGCCCAGGCCGCAGGTCTCGGTGCCTCTCGCCAGGCGGGCACAGGCGCGGCTCGGCGAAGACGGAGGGCAGAGCCCGGGCACCTGGGGACGGGGCCAGGGGCAGGGGCGGGGGGCGCGGAGAGGAAGCCCAGGGTGAGAGAGCGGCGAGCAGGGTGGCGGGCGGGGCGGGGGCTGGCGGAGCGTGGCAGGCTCGGGGCCTGCATTAGGGCGTGAGCGGGGCTGGCACCGGCCGCCCGCTCGGGCCGTAATCCTGTTAGCCGGCAATCTCCATTCCGAAAGAGCTTCATTTCTTTGTGAATATTTGTAAACTAGATATCTAATGGAAAATTATAGGAAAATTATAGTGAAATTCATGACGGAGAAATCCGATTATCCCTAATTCAATTATGCCATCTTAGCCCACACAGCACATTTCCCATTTTTTTCCCATAAATACCGATGCCAGGGGTCCCGGTAATCAAATAAAATTGAAAATCATCTTCCCATTAAATTCAATTAGCCGCAATTTCTAAAGCCTATCAGAGATTTTAATTACTAAATTATAAAATTCTCCAATGCTAAATTGAAACCAAAAAAATTGTGCATCCTTATATTTCAGCGGAAAGGAAAAAAAAAAGGGGGGCAGCAGAAGCCTTGAGAAATGCTCACTTCTCTGTCCGGCTTCTCACCTGGCAGGCACCACATCACGGCCTTTCTCGGGGCCGGAAAGGAAGTGGGGTGCAGGGGCGACCCACAGAGGAGAGGGTCCATACAGAGGAGGGGAGGAGGGTGCCCACACGGCTACTCGGGGGCCACCTCCTCCTCCTGCTTCTGGCTTCAGATGGCCCCGCCCCCACGGTGATGTCCCCCCACGCCCTGCGGGGATGGGCCGCTGCCACCACTAACTTCTTGGCAGGGGGACAGAGGTCCGGCACGGCCGCAGCCAGCTCTGGGCGGTACCCAGGTGGCCGGCTTCGTAGCCCGGCCCGGCTCTCACCTGACCCCCAGGGGCCTGGGCTGGGTCACAGGTGGGGGCAGACAGAACCCAATGTCCAGTGGACACCATCAGGGGACGGTTCTGCCGCCCGAGTCGCGCTGGGGGCCCGGAGCCGGGTCGGGCACCAGCCTGCAGGAGAGCAGCCTTGGCCCCGCCTGGCCCCCTCCCGCCTCTCCCTGCCTTGCGCCTCCCTCCCTCCCTCCTGGGCAGGCCCTGAGCTGGCGGGTGGGGGGGCTCCCTCATGCACCCCCATCTCCTTAGAGGGAGGTGCCGGGAGCCCCACGCCCGACTCCCGCCTGCTCCCGTCCCCACCCAGGCACTTACCCTGCTCCTAAGCGGCTCGGGGAGCGGGGAAAGACTGGGGTGGTGGCACGGAGGGACCCCCGGCTGGCACCCGTGGGCTGGCCGGGCCATGCCAGGCGGTGCTGACGAGCCCAGGGCCCCGAGCGAGTGGGGAGCCGGTTGGATCGGCCGGGCAGCCAGGAGTGCCAGCAGGGGAGGCACCGCAAACAAAACAAAAACAAAAAAGTTAATTATCTTTGGCTTTTTCTTAATAAATATCCAAACTGGCCCGGCCGGATCCTCCGCTTTGGAGGGAGCAGCGAGAGAGAAGGAGGAAAAAACCCCAAACCCAACCCAGCAGACTGGGGCTCCCTCCACCTTCCTGCCCTCCATCCCGTCCTCGTGTTTCATCTCTTATCAGCGGCCGCTCACGCCCAGTCCCCCAATTTTGCAAGCAGCGTCTGGCCACTAACGCTTTCCTTTTTTTTTTTTTTTTTTTTTTTTTTCAGTTTTGGGATGGGAAAACTGTGGGTGTGAGACCGAGAGGCAGATAAGTCAGCAGGCCGGGAGGCGGGGGGGAAGGCGGGAGGGCGAGTGGGCGAGTGGCGGCGTGAGCAGGAGAGGGCACCGGGACGCCCACTCTGCTGCCCACTCGTGGCCCCCAGCCAGGCCGAGGTCTGCTCTGGAATGTTCTAGAACACGGCGCTGGCCCATGCATGACTTCCGTGACAAGGATGGTCTCCGGGAGATCGATTCGGGATTTCTGTTGTAACTCCGAAACCGTTGGCCTGGCAGTGCCCCGGGTGCTGCCCGCCCTGGGCCGACCCTCCTGTCCAGGCGCGCGGGAGAAGGACTTGAAGAGGCTGGGGGCTGGGGCTCCGGTGGCCCTGCCAGGCCCCAGGAGGGGAGTCCTGGGATGATTCCGGGGCTTCTGTGACAATGGTGCCCACCCAGAACCGGGGGCCCCCATAGCTGGGCCCGTGGAGGGGGTCGCTGCCTCAGAACCAGGACTCGGGGGTGGGGG